AAAACATATTGCGACCCCGTCTCTATGAAAAAATTTAAAAATTAGTCCGGTCACAGTACTGCATACCTGTTTGTCGTAGCTACTCAGGAGACCGAGGTGGGAGAATCACTTGAGCCTAGAAGTTGGAGGTGGCAGTGATTTATGATTACACTGCTCTTCTCCAGCCTAGTGACAGAGCAAGACCCTTTCTCTTTAAAAAAAAAAGAAAAAAATGTTTATGATTTTGATGAAGTCCAATTTATTTTTTCTTTTTGTAGTTTATGCTTTTGATGTCATCAAAGAAATCATTGCCCAATCCAAGATCATAAAGATTTACATCTATGTTTTCTTATAAGAATTTTATAGTTTTAGTTTTAATTTAGGTCTTTATCCATTTTGAGTTAATTTTTGCAACCATCCATTCTTGCCCACTCCAATTAATTTTTCGCACAAAGCCAGAATGGTCATACAACTCAAATCAGGTTGTGCCATTCCCCCTTTTAAAGCTTTCGGTGGCTTCCCATCATACACAGAGTAAAATCTAAACTCTGTGACCTGTAAGGTGAGGCCCATGTGGTCTTTCTGCCCTTTCTCCATGTTTGGTCACTGCAGTCTAGCCATGCTGGAGGCCTAAGAGTGGCTCAAGCAGGTTAAGTCTTTTGCTGTCTTAGGACCTGTAGTCATGCTGTTCCCTTTGCTTGCTGTTCTGTTCCCTGTCTCCGTACCCTTGGATCATTGTTGTAATATTATTTCCTCAGAGAGGCCTTCCCGACTACCCTTGCTCCACTTACTCATTGCCCAGTGCCCTATTTTTAATTTCACTGCACTGCTTAAGTAATTCTCTTTGTGTTTTGTTGTTTACTAATCTGTTTTCTGCCTCCATCCCTGGAAATAAGTTCTGAGTAGGAATTATTCCTGTGTTCTCACCATTATTTACACAGCCCCTGGCCTGGGATGGTGGACACAGTAAATATTTGAGTGGATGAATGAATGAGGTACCCAGTATTTTATTTATACATATGTGTGTGTGTGTGTGTGTGTGTGTGTGTGTGTGTGTGTGTGTGTATTTATTTATTATTATTATTTTTGAGATATAGTCTCACTGTGTCCCCAGGCTGAAGTACAGTGGTGTAATCTTGGCTCACTGCAATGTCCACCTCCCTGAGTCAAGCGATTCTCCTGCCTCAGCCTCCCAAGTGGCTGGGATTATAGGCACCCACCACTATGCCCAGCTAATTTTTGTGTTTTTAGTAGAGTCAGGGTTTCATCATATTGGCCAGGCTGGTCTCGAACTCCCAACCTCAGGTGATCCTCCCACCTTGACCTCCCAAGGTGCTTGGATTACAGGCGTGAGCCACTGCACCTGGCCCTTTCTTTTCTTTTTTTGCCTTCTTAGCTGAGCTTTTCCTGACTAGTGAAGAGAAGGCATCCCAGTGTATTTGAGGGATATTTCAGTTGATCATAAAATGAAAGATTAATTGGTCTATTTATGGTAAATTAATCTGGTCTTCAAATTCTTCCCTAAATTTTTCTGTGTTTTGATGTTCATCTGCAGTGGGAAGGAGAAGGGTGCGAATAGTTGTCTTGCTTGTGTGATTTACAGATAGACATAAGAATTTCCAGAGAAAAGTACAGTTAGAAATGATTTGCCATGGTATTATGTATCTCAGGAATAGGATTAAAAAAGGAATGTGCCTAGGTCAGGTGTTCAGTGTACCTTATGGTCATGTTTTACCCTGAAGTTAAATAGTCTTAATATTCAGAGTGGGAGAAAGGGTATGTATTTCTAAAGAGGCTTCATGATCCTGGGCATTGTGCTATTGGTAACTCTTAACTCTTCACTCTTAAGCAGCTGAAATCTAGCCATGTTTACCTTGAGGTAAGTGAGCACTGTTCTGAGTATTAGTTTATCATGAGGGAGCACCATTTTGTGAATAGTTTGGGAGGACAAGAGAAGGATTGTCCTTTTTGCGTGTTTATTTTTGAAGGCCCACCTCCCATTTTATTAATTCAGTTAATAATTGTTCCTTTTCTGAGGCTCTGTAAGCTTCCAAAACAGGAATCTGCTGCATTTTACTAAAGTACCTTACTATTGTTAATTCAGTTAATAATTGTTCTTTTCTGAGGCTCTCTAAGCTTCCAAATCAGGAATCTGCTGCATTTTACTAAAGTGCCTTACTAAGTAATAACTGGTGGGAAAATGATGTATATGTTCTCAGTTATATATACCTGGCACACTTGAAATACCATGTTAGGAATATATTAAGGTTGCCATTAATGGAAATTTCTAACCTTTGAAGTAGAATTGAAATTTAATTTTATTTACTCCATATATACATTTTCCTCAAGTTTAGTCAGTCACTTAGATTCATTGAGGAGAGATGTATTTGATAATGTTCTGACGTTAAACATGAAAAAAAGTAAATTTGAAATAAATCTAGCTTATAAGTTTGGACTTTATTGACTCAGTCAAAACATAAAATGAATTGTTGGAATTCTCATGGTGGGAAAAGTATCTTGGAAATAAGATAGTAGGCATTTGGGAGCGAGATAAAGAAATATTAAAATTTTCATGTAGATTTGGCTCATGTTGGCCTTTACTGATAAATGCCAATTTCCTTCTATTTGAGTCAGCACATTTTAGAACATTTTACAAATATTAAAGTTCTTCACATATCAGGCACTATAGGAATAGATGGATAGTTAAAATATGTGTCTGAGTTAATACAGAATTGTTTCTCCTGCCTTTTCGTTTTTTTCTTTTTCTTTTTCTTTTTTTTTTAAAAGACAGAGTCTTGCTGTGTCACCCAGGCTGGAGTGAAATGGCACTGTCTCAGCTCACTGCACCCTCCACATCCCAGGTTCAAGCAATTCAGCCTTAGGGTCCCGAGTAGCTGGGTTTACAGACACCTACCACCACGCCTGGCTAATTTTTTGTGTTTTTAGTAGAGACAGAGTTTCGCCATGTTGGCCAGGCTGGTCTTGAACTCCTGACCTCAGGTGATCCACCCACCTCTGCCTCCCAAAGTGCTTGGATTACCGGTGTGAACCACCACGCCCGGCCTCTCCTGCTTTTTCTAAGTTGACCAACTGAACCATTGATAGATCTGTTTGTCATACTCTCAGATGAATAGGTAGTCTTGTAGCTTGGCTTTAAAAAATTATCCTCATGTGTTCCATTGTACCCTGATTAGACCTCACCCACACTTGAAGGGATTTTGGTTCTAGTTCTTTAGCAATGTGATATATTTTTTGGACAACTAGATACTCTTTGACTTTTAAAGTGACATTATTTTCGGTTGTCCTGGCTTGGTGTTTCTGAAGTTTGAATGAATCATTCCACCATTTGAAAAGAAGTAAGTGATCAGGCTGGCCGCAGTGTCTCACGCCTGTAATCCCAGCACTCTGGGAGGCCGAGGCGGGTGGATCACGAGGTCAGGAGATCGAGACCATTCTGGCTAACACAGTGAAACCCCCATCTCTACTAAAAATACAAAAAAATTAGCTGAGCATGGTGGCGGGCGCCTGTAGTCCCAGCTACTCAGGAGGCTGAGGCAGGAGAATGGCGTGAACCTGGGAGGCGGAGCTTGCAGTGAGCCAGTATCATGCCACTCCCGCCTGGGTGTGAAGACATTAAGGAGGATTTAAATGAAGAAAGGCATATGAAAGTACCCAGCTCCGTGTCAGCTTATAATTAAAAAGCAGTAGCTACCATTTTTTGAGCTCATTGTACTGTGCAATGTGCTAAACGCATTCGAGTATTTGATTTAATTCTCTCAATAACCCTGCAGAGCAGGTAATATGCATTCCATTCAACACATGAGGAATTTCAGAGAAGCCAAGTAGTAGGCCTGAGGTTACACAGCTTCTAAATGGTAATGTTGGGATTTATATTCGATCTGTGTGAAAAGTCTGTGCAAGCAAAACTACTCTTTACAGTAGGCTCCAGTCACTAAATCAGTCACTTCATTTGCATTTATTTGAAGACTAGTAAGACTGATTTTCCCATTTGTTTGTTAACGAGTAACATCTTATATTTGTAATGGGCCTGTGGATGACTTTTGCCCCTTTATATGTTGGGATTGTTTCTGATTGTCATATGCTTGCACAAGCTTCTCATATATTAATCATGTATTGAACCTTTCTCTTCCTCTGAACATACTTGAGGCAGCAAGTGACATTCATCTCCCATACCTACAAAATTTTATACTTGGATATGCTTTCATTTCTCATTTTCTACATGGGTCCGTTACATTGTTATTTTTCTTCAGGTCTGTTCTGTAAAATGTATTGAGACTTTTATTCAGAGATATCTCCTTATTCTGGGGCTTTTTGCATTAAGAAACAGTATAATATCATCTAACTCTAAGAACTACGTTGTATTAATGTGCAGGATGAATAGCTGTTAACTCGTAGGTTTCACATTGGGGTAGTAGATCAGAAGTCCTTAAGAAATAATTGCTTCTATTTAAAACACACACACACACTCACACACACAAACCCTTTTATACACTTAACTTGGTTTTTTTTTTTCTTGTGAGACAAGGTCTTGCTCTGTTGCCCAGGCTAGAGTGCAGTGGTGTGATCTCAGCTTCCTGCAACCTCTATCCCACAGGTTCAGGTGATCCTCCCACCTCAGCCTTCTGAATAGCTGGGGCTACAGGCATGTGCCACCATGCCTGGTTAATTTTGTATTTTTTTGTAGAGACAGGATTTCACCATGTTGCCCAGGCTAGTTTCAAACTCCTGGGCTCAAGTGATCCTCCTGCCTCAGCCTCTCAAAATGCTAGGATTACAGGCATGAGCCACCGTACCCAGCTAAATATTCTTAATCATTTTTATTTAAAATGTAAATAATTATGTGTTTCTTTCTAGTGGATTACTTTAGGATTGAAATAAACTAGTTCATCAAACTTAGAACATGGTCACCTTTGATTGCCGTACTCTTTCAAGCAGTTTCATAGATACCAAGAAAGAATTGATGGTGCTGTTAAATATATCCAGTATCTCTCTTCTCCCAGCAAAGTTCCTGCATTCGTGAGGATGATTGCTCCCGAAGGCTCCTTGGTGTTTCATGAGAAAGCCTGGAATGCGTACCCCTACTGTAGAACAAGTAAGCCTGGCCCCCAGCAGCCATTGCACCCCTCCACCCTGAGAATGAGAGGGATTCCCAGTACGAATGTCTTTGAGAAGGATTACACTGAGCAAGGTCTTTCTTGGGTTCTTGGATAGTCACTGCTAGAATGATGGCAGAGGAAGAACTGCATTGGGTTCCTCCTCCCAGAACTTTGTGACAGGCATAAGTCCATTCCCACATGGCAGCCACTTTGGGGTCCTAGCCGACTATGCTGGCTCCAGGGGTAAGCCAAAAGAAAGGTCGTTTACACTCACAAGGGTGTTTTGGTGCGTTTCAACAGTATTTTACTTACATTGCTACATAGTAGAGGAGGAATAGGACAGACTTCTGAAACAGCATCCTATCATTTGCTAAATTGACCTTATAAATAATGTTTTGCTTTTGTGACATTATTCTTTTTAGCATTATTTTGAAAATTAGATGATTCTTCATATTTTATTTGTACTCCGTAGTCTAAATTAATGTGCTGTGTAGTGTCACTTGTGTAGAAACTCTTGTTTTGCAGACATAAGTTACTAAATAAATGTTCTGTGTTTTTAGGTAGTTTAGTCTTTGTGACATTAAGTTTTGGGACAGATTGTTTTGATTCCAATTAATATTCTGAAATTTTTCTCCTTTCATTACCTACCTCTCCATTATGCCTCAGTTGTAACGGTGAGTAAAACTATTTTTGTGTCTCATACTTTTATCTTTAAACTTTGCTTTACACAGTAATTATTTTCAACCATTCTTTGCTAACTGCCCCTCACTGCATGGTTCCCTCCTGTGTCCCGCCAACCAGCCCCCACACTCTACCACATGTTCCCACTGTTCATGGGCCCTTTCCACCCTTGTCTCAAAATCTCCCTATTGATTTTATTTTGCTTTTGTTACTCCCTTCAAACATGGTATTTGTTTATCAGACCTCACAGCTTCTTTATTAGCCCAGTATGCTGCGTGGCAAGTCAAATTGTTTGAATTATTTAAAAGCATGCAGCATTTGGTTTGCCTGGCAAGTCTATAAAAATGGGTAGCTAATGATTCTTGGTCACTTGAGGATCAGTCTCCTTGTAGAGTCAAAGCATGGATGCCTATACTGGGAAAAGCTCCCTCAGACGTGGTCACCAAGGAACAGGTAGAAGATTACTATCATTTTCCTGTTGTGTTTTCTGCAGAATGAATATATGAAAGATGATTTCTTCATTAAAATCGAAACATGGCACAAACCAGACTTGGGAACATTAGAAAATGTAAGTTTCAACTCTGCACTTTTAGTACAGAAGCCCCTGGAAACGAGAATACTGTATGTAGTTCACTTGTCATCACCAAAGTAATGTCACCTGTGTTGTACTAGTATCTGACCACACCAAGCTGTGTCAAATTGAGATGAGGCAGGCAAGCAGCCAGAAACCAAATGGGCTTTCCCTATCAGTCCCCTTGCCTTGACACTTTGGTAAAGTTGCTGTTTTGATCAGCAACTCTTATCTGAGGCAAGGAGAGCTTGGGTAAACAAAATTCAAAGATAACCCCAGCCCAATTTTAGCCATTAGTTTTGCTAATTAGATTGCTTTTATCTCTGAGTGTTTGCCAGAGCTGTTCTGCATAGCAGAATTGATTGCTTTAATTTTTACCTCCTGTCTGCTTTGCTAGGGTATGGGCTGATGTCAGAGAAATGGCCGAAAGGCAGGAGGGATAAAGTACTTGAATAACTTACAAAAATGTTGAAAAGCTCTTGACTTATATAAGTTGGTGCACATTTATCTCTTTAAGATTCAAGAACATCTTTGAGTTAGGACTTAAAAAAAATGTAATCATTAACTTTTAGTAAGGTTTGTCATGGAGCTTGGGAAGGCCTGTTGTATAGGTTGACGCCCTTGGTCTAGGGGTTCTCAAAAGTGTGGTCTTTGGATGGGCCAGCAGCAGTACAGTATCTGAGGACTTGTTTGAAATGCAAATACTCTGACCTCACCCAAGAATCTGTAGGGTTGGGACTCAAACCAGAATCTGTAGGGTTGGGACTCAGCAGTTTCTGTTTTCTGGTGCACATGCATTCCAGGAGAGTAGGTTAATGATTATGGCAAATTCTGTTTTTTACTGTTCTATTGCTGTGCTCTTATGTTATTGATGCCAATTAGCCAATTAATAGAACTTTGAATTTTAATATGTAGTATTTGACTTGAGTTTTCTTTCAAGTGATCATTTGACATTTTATGTTGTTTTTCTCTTTTTATTTTTTTATTTTTTTTTATTTTTGAGACAGAGTCTCACTTTGTTGCCCAGGCTGGGGTGCAATCACGCGCTGTCTGCTCAGTGCAACCTCTGCCCCCTGGGTTCAAGTAATTCTCCTGCCTCAGCCTCCCAAGTAGCTGGGACTGCAGGCATGCACCACCATGCCTGGCTAACTTTTGTATTTTCAGTAGAGATTCACCATTCAGTAGAGTTTCACCATGTCGGCCAGGCTAGTCTTGAACTCCTGACCTCAGGTGATCCACCTGCTTCAGCCTCCTAAAGTGCTGGGATTACAGGTGTGAGCCACTGCACCCAGGCTTTTTGTTGTTTTTTATAGTAATCTTCTATAATTTATAATCTAGATGAGATGATTTGGTGTGCATCAATCTATATGATTTATTCTGCTATTTTCAGCTTTTAAATGGGCATGTCTTTGGCAGTTTTCAAACAATTCCTAATTAGTTCATAGATGGCATTTCAGAAATAAATGATGGATCAACATGCAATAGAGAGGAGTTGGCATCATACTGAAACTGAATAGCTTTAGGATAATCAAATTTTGGAGAGATTTTAGACCATATAGTGCATCATTTGAATTCTACTTGTAATGTCACCTTATGTTTGTATAGAACTTTGTTGGTTACAAAAGTTACAAGTACTTTGTTGTGTATCATTTGGGTTAAACATAGGTCTGGTATATTTTGTTAAATAAATCATCTGTGAGGACTATCAGAAAATAATATTGACAGGTTTCTATTCATTTGGCAGCATCCTTATTCTCTCCTTCCTTATTATTTGGGGTTATAAGTGGTAATAAAAGATTTCTAGATCCTGCAAAATATCAGACAGCTAATATAATGAAATAATAATTTGGGTTTTTTAATTCCCTATAATGTACCCTGAGTGACTCAAGATAAAGATTATATATGTAAACATAATAGAATAATCTACAGTTTGTTTTATTTCTTTTCTCTTTGTCATTGGTAGGTACATGGTTTAGACCCAAACACATGGAAAACTGTTGAAATTGTCCATATAGATATTGCAGATAGAAGTCAAGTTGAACCAGCAGTAAGTATTACTCAATGACATTTAACCTGTTCCCTTTTACGGGTAAAAATTATTTTCTACTATCACATTTAGGATTAAGTTAAAATTATTTCCTTTCTTTCTTGTATGGCCTACATTTCTATGCCGAAATGAGCTTGGAGTGTAGTCTAGTAGGTCTTTGCAGCAAAGAGACCAGAGTAAGAGATAAGGTGATTTGTTTTCTGTGTGGATTTTGCCTTTGTACAGGTGATCCCTTTAGGAAGTCCCAATATACCTGGGAAATGTAGGTTGTTTTCATTGAAAAACAAAACACATTGTTTACAAAATAATTCTCCCTCAAGCTTCTTTAAATAATATAGGTCCCTTTTACTTTTCAAATGTGAGTAAGAAAGCAAAAATTTAATTTGCATGCAAGTATTTAGTAACTCAGCCACAGTTGTTATTTGTAGAAAATAGTTTGTGTAGAGTATCTTTTTTAAAATTTTCTTTTAGATTCCAGAAGTAGGTGTAGAGTATTTTAATTTAATAGTTGTTTAGCTTTCTATTTTGAATCCTATTAAAATGTAAATGTTTCTACTCCTGGCTTTTGACTTAACAAAAAAATTTCTTTTTCACAAAGACACTTATTCCTCATGCCAGATTAAGACTCTTGTCTTAGGCTGGACACAGTGGCTTCCACTTGTAATCCCAGCACTTTGGAAGGCCAAAGAGGGAGAATTGCTTGAGCACAGGAGCTTGAGACCAGCCTGGACAACATAGTGAGATCCTGTCTCTAAAAAGAAAAAAACAATTAGCTGGGCATGATGGCATGTACCTATAATTCCAGCTACATGGGGAGGCTTAGATGGGAGGATTGCTTGAGTCCAGAAATTTGAGGCTGCAGTGAGCGGTGATCGTACCACTGCACCCCAGCCAGGGTGACAGAGTGAGATCCTGTCTCAGAGGGGGGGAAAAAAAAAAGGCCAAGTGCGGTGGCTCACGCCTGTAATCCCAGCACTTTGGGAGGCCGAGGCAGGCAGATCACGAGGTCAGGAGATCGAGACCATCCTGGCTAACACAGTGAAACCCCTTCTCTACTAAAAATACAAAAAATTAGCCAGGCATGGTGGCGGGCGCCTGTAGTCCCAGCTACTCCGGAGGCTGAGGCAGGAGAATGGCGTGAACCTGGGAAGCAGAGCTTGCAGTGAGCCGAGATCGCGCCACTGTACTCCAGCCTGGGCAACAGAGTGAGACTCTGTCTCAAAAAAAAAAAGACCCCTGTCTTATCTTGCCAAAGTTTGTGGATATTTAATGTGGTTCTTTTTTTATAAGTGCTGATCTGGTTTTACACAGCACATGTAAATACAAGCACTGGTCCTCTTCCTCTAATCTAGAGAAGTAAAGCTTTGGAATAAGAGTGACACCCTTTGTTTTGTCATGGTAAAGCACAGTGTGTTCAGCAGGTATCCCCTTCCATTTCTGTTTTTGGTGCTTATTCCCTGAACTTGAGCAGTGTTGTAAGCTAAACAGAAATAAGTCAAACACTAAATGTCTGGTTTTGCTGTTGAAATTTGAAGGTAAACTTGCCTAAACAAAGGTCCCTGACCTTTTCTCAGAAGTCGCTGGGGTTGAGACTGCCAGCAGTGACCCAGTACCAGGCTGGGCCAACTCTGCTAGGGCCCCCTTCCTGCTTAGAAGTGTGAGCACTGATAAGGGTCTTTTGTTCTAGAAGTTCTTAAATTTTAGTTTTGCTGTGATTTGAAGTTGTTTCAGTTTTAGGGATCTTTTCACCTTTGACATTGTTAGAGAGTTTTTTAATCTGTAGAAATGAAATGATATCTGTTATGCCCTTTTATTTCTCTTGGTATTGTTTACAGCTAAGATTTACTATATGTGAAAGAATGATGGGAAGAGAAGTAATTGGCAGTAATGAGTGAGTCAGTTAATGACTAGGTCAGGACAGCTTACAAGCCTGGAGCTGCCCATCACTAAAATACCAAGCAGCAGTATGCCACATCAGGATCAGGTGCCCTGGGGAAGGCATTCCCATTATGTTGTTGGTGTTTGAAAATGCTATAATGACCAAACAAAATGGCTGGACTGACTCAGACTTATGGTCCATAGGTTTGCAGTCTGTGTTGTTCACCAGCAGAGTACAAGATACCTTTGGTTTTGCTGGAGGCATAAAAATTCTTTGTTCCTGTCCTCAGGCGAAAATGGGCAGTGTTTACAGGCATGAATGCTGGTGGAAAGAGCAGTGTAAGGGCAGATTGCACAAGAACCCTGGAGGCGCTGGTTCCCATCCCCTCCACCTCAGCACAGACTTCAGAGAGGAGAGGAGGCACTGGATGCATGACAGCAGCACTTGAGATAGGTGCTCCAGGTGGAAGGCACTGCACATGCAAAGGCTGAGTAGGTAGTTCTATGTGTGAAAATGGTGATGTTTGGGGTGGATAGCTAGTGAAAAAGACTGGATTGAGCCCAAGTGAGGAGGATCTGTGTTGCGAGGCATGGAGCTTTGACTAAGAACATACATTCTGAAACTAGGTGGGCTTCAGATTTCCATTCTGAGACTCTGCCACCTGCTGGCTATTTAATCTTGGACAGGTTGGTTAGCCTCTCTTTGCCTGTATTATCTTGTGTAAAATGAGAGTAATTATCTTATAGGATTAAATATGATCACTTAGAGTATATTAGTCTGTTTTCACACTGCTGTGCAGATACTACCCAAGGCTGGGTAATTTATAATGGAAAGAGGTTTAATTCACTCACAGTTCTGCATGACTGGGAAGGCCTTGGGAAACTTACAATCATGGTGGAAGGGGAATCAGGCACGTTTTACATGGCAGCAGGAGAGAGAGGAGGAGGAAGGAGGAACTCCTAAACAGATCTTGTGAGAACTCACTCACTGTCACCAGAACAGGATGGGAGAAACTGCCCCCGATGATCCAATCACCTCCCTTCCTTGACACATGGGGATTACAGGTCCCTCCATTGACATGTGGTAATTACAATTTGAGATGATATTTGGGTGGTAACACAGAGCCAAATCATATCATAGAGCCAGTGCATAGTTCAGTAAATGCTAGCCGTAATTGTCATTATTATTAGCTCCAGTTGTACAAGAGTTCCGAGAGTCTGTGTTCACACCAAGCATTGTTTGGGGACTAACCACAACCTGCATATATGTGGTTTTTTGATGTTCATAGCTCCTATTTCCCATTATGTTTTAGAGATTAGTAAGATATAAATTTATTTTAAAGTTTATTGAATTTGCAGGAACTATTTTTTATTGGGATAAAATACACATAACCTAAAAATTTACCCTTTTAACCATTTTTAAATGTGCAGTTCAGTGGCATTTAGTACATTAACAATGTCCTGCAACCATTACCACTGTCTAGCTGCAAAATGTTTTCATCACCCTAGAAGGACACCCTGTACTCATGAACAGTCATTCCCTGATTCTCCTTCCCCCTAACCTTTGGCAACTGCTAACCTGTTTTCTGTCTCTTGGGATTTGCCTATTCTGGATATTTCATATAAATAGAATCATGCAACGCATGGCCTCCGGTGGCTGGCTTCTTTCTTGTGCTTTGCATTTATTTACAAGATTCATCTTTATAATATGTGTCAGTACTTCATTCCTTTCTGTGGCTAAATAATATTCCAGTGTATGGATAGACCGCATTTTGTTCATGCATTCATCTGGGTTTTTTTTGTTATTGTTGTTTTGAGACGGAGTCTTGCTCTGTCGCCCAGGCTGGAGTGCAGTGGCACGATCTTGGCTCACTGCGTGCTCCGCCTCCGGGGTTCATGCCATTCTCCTGCCTCATCCTCCCGAGTAGCTGGGACTACAGGCGCCCGCCACCAAGCCCAGATAACTTTTTGTATTTTTAGTAGAGATGGAGTTTCACCGTGTTAGCCAGGATGGTCTCGATCTCTGACCTTGTGATCCTCCTGCCTCGGCCTCCCAAAGTGCTGGGATTACAGGCGTGAGCCACTGCGCCCGGCCTCATGCATTCATCTGTTGATGGACATTTGGGTTTTTTCTACCTCTTGGCTGTTGTGACTAGTGCTACTGTAAACCTTTGTGTCACAGGAGCTTTTTGTCTAATGTGCTCTCTTAGTTGGGGATAATTAAATAACTGATATGTAAGGATTATCAGACCTTTTGATGTGGAAAAAAAAATAATTCCATTATGCACATTTCTCTGTTACAAAAAGAAAGGGAAAGGAGCTTTTTGGTGCAAAGGTGCCCTTGACAGTTTTTAAGCATAGAGCAGAGCATTGAGCTTCCAGGGTTGGGGTGGGGCGGTGTTGAAGGCCAGTATGGGTGGTGGCAGGAGAGCTAGGACCAGAACCCCATTTCAGGGAGGAGGTGATTGTGAAATCTAGTGGTGCAGGGACCCTGGGTCTGCTCTTTTCTTTTGCACATCCTTGTCTGTCCACTTTCCCAGGCATTGACAGCTGCCCCTACACTCTTATCCCTTTAAGTTCCACTCCGTTGTTTTGGCCTTGACTAGTAGAGTTTTAGGGTTAGCTTTTATCCCAAACACCTGGACCACCTGGAGGTCATTACTTCTTACCAGATCCAATTTGGTTTTCTGTTGAGTTAATTTGTTCATTTCATTCTGCCCTGTTAGGTAATTTTGTCACTTGAATATTCTAGTCTACAGTGTAGAGAAAAGGCAGAAAACATTTACAGTTCTAAAATGGTAATGTTGTCATAGCAATCAATAGTACTGAATGCCTGTGCTGTGTGTACCAGTGCTGTGCATACAGCACTGTGGTAACTGTCGAGGATTTGTATAGCACCCACAAGAGACTTACAGTCTTAGCAAGAAAAGCCCAGTACAATAAAGTAGTTAACAAGTGGCAGAGGCTTATAGCATGGTCTAAAGTGCTATAGGATTTCAGAAAAGAGAACAGACGATCTGTAAGAACGCAAAGCTGAAAAGGCTGAAGGGAAGACTCCTGACATGAGGATGTGTAGAGTTTTGATGAGTGGAACAATCATTACACTTTTTCCTCTTACACTC